CCCCCCATGCTGTGTGGACATTAAAGGGCTCCTCCTCACTGCTTTACCTGGACATGTGGCGGAGTTGTTGCATTGCTTGTGCTCTTTGAGGGGCCCACTGCAATGTGTGCTGTACGAGGATGAGACGCAGAACCGCGTCCTGGATTTCAGCCCTTCACCGCAGGTGGTGGAACAGACGCTCCACGGAGACCACTCCTCCGCCGCCGTGTCTCCTGCGCAGGACAAAATGACAGAAATGATATACAATGTTATCTCTTGTTCATTATCGGGTGTCAAAACGTCAACAAGAAAAGAAACTGAACGGCAAATGGCAAAATTCAGGTAAAGGTCAGTCCACGGAAAACTGATATGTCGATGCTTGATGGATGATGAAGAGTTAAATGAGCTGAGAGCCTCTTCAATCCCTGAACCTGCTGAGGGGTCCCCATCCTCCCCCGATAAACCCTTTCATTCTATAACGTTATGGAGAATGCAGAAGGAGGAGCTGGAACACACAATGTGGGCGGGGACACCCAAAACTCCCGGGAGAGAGTCAGGAAATATGACCGGGAGATCTCAATACAAAACCGACAAGAAGCTAAGAGTTGACTCTCTTTTGGTTGGACTGGCCTTTCAATATATTCAGGGACAGCAATCTATCTGTTTGGATTGGTCCTGTCTGCAGTCTGCGCTGTAACTGCAGACAATAGGCATGTGCGATTCGACTCCCAATCAAAATTCGTACAAATTTTCTGAAATTCGGACACATCAGAATTTCCGAATCCCAATGCAAACCCGAATGCGTCCCAATCCGAATTTCCGTTTCCCAATTTCGGATCCCGTCCGAATTTCGTTCAAAAACTGAATGGGACATGTGACTTTTCCGGCCAATCAGATGTGTTTTTTTTGGTTTAATGCATCCGAATGGGTCTAAAAATGTTCAATACGGCAACACGGGAGCCACATACAGTATATACCTAGAGTACTAAAGCTGAGGACTCCCAGACCCGAATGGCACTCAGGAGCTCCACAATGCAATTCGGATCCCAAATGCCATTCGGGTCTGGGAGATTCAGCTTTAGTATTATATGTATATGGCTCCCGGACCCCAATGGCATTGGGGATCCGAATTTCTAAATGGCATTGGGGAGCTCCTGAGTGCCATTCGGGTCTGGGAGATACAGCTTTAGTATTACTATCTGTAGATGGTTCTCTGTGGTCAAGGCCGTCTTTAATAGTGATTGGACCCTGGGCAAATATTTTATTAGGCCCCTCCGCCGCCTACCCGCCCCTCTCCCGCCACGCACTTTTCGCTCTCCAAAAGAGCAGATAGGAGGAGACGTCAAAGGGAGGCGCGAGACATCACGAGGTCGCGCTATGCAGGGACAGAACAACACTATGCAATGTGGATCGCATAGTAAACCGAACAGTGCCACGTGTGTAACTTTTGCGGGCTGAAGGGGCAGCTGCTTTGGGCCCCACAACAATGGCTGGGCCCGGGGCAGCTGCCCCTTTTGCCCTGCGTTAAAGATGGCCCCGTCTGTGGTATGCACAACGAATAATCGTCAACTCATCCGAAACTAAATTTGGATTTCGTCCGAATCCGAAACCCGAAATAACGAAATATCCGAACCGAATTATTCGGCAGCTTACATGTCTAGCAGACAAGGAAGGGGAACAAAAGCACGTCACACACTTGTTTGATTCAATGTCTTCGCCGCCATGAGTTCATATTGGGGACGTTCATTCATTCATCGCACAGGAGTCGGACGTTTGACAGAAATATGAACCGGACTTCCGAAAAACATTTCCCAAATGTATTCCATTGGGCCTGTCATGAGAGGGATGAGGACAGGAGGCTCTGTATACATTTTCTTTTATAAATCTAACTTTTTTATATGCCGTCCATCATTTTCTCTTTTGTTATACTTTTTTCCTCTGATCTTTTGATCTGACCATCTCCTGTACTGTGTCTACAGTCTCTGACCATCTCCTGTACTATGTCTGCAGTCTCTGACCATATCACGTACTATGTCTGCAGTCTCTGACCACCTCATATACTATGGCTGCAGTCCCTGACCATCTCCTGTATCATGTCTGCCGTCTCTGACCATCTCCTGTATCATGTCTGCCGTCTCTGACCATCTCCTGTACTATGTCTGCAGTCTCTGACCATATCACGTACTATGTCTGCAGTCTCTGACCACCTCATATACTATGGCTGCAGTCCCTGACCATCTCCTGTACCATGTCTCCAGTTTCTGACCATCTCCTGTATCATGTCTGCAGTCTCTGACCATCTCCTGTACTATGTCTGCAGTCTCTGACCATCTCCTGTACTATGTCTGCAGTCTCCGACCATCTCCTGTACTATGTCTGCCGTCTCTCACCATCTCCTGTACTATGTCTGCAGTCTCCGACCATCTCCTGTACTATGTATGCCGTCTCTGACCATCTCCTGTACTATGTCTGCAGTCTCTGACCATCTCCCGTAGCATGCCTGCAGTCTCTTGCTTTCTGTAGTATTACCATCCCTGAATATTATGCGTGGCCCTTTGGGGATGTCAGGGGGCCACACCTCAAGCATCTCAGATGAGTTGACATTGTAGGATTTTCCCTTTACCTGTCCCGGTGACACCTGTAAAATTTGGGATTCCCCATCACCCTCAGGACTAGGGTTGCCACCGGTCCAGGATTGACCCGGACAGTCCGGGTTTTGATGTCAGGCAGACCAGGGGGCAACCCAAACTAAGATAGGGGCTACTGGCCCCCCACTGAAAATAGTCTCCACTGTGATATTTACATATAAATGGGCGGAGCTATTCACATATGAATAAGCCGCGGCTCATTCTCCCCCCAAAAAATGTCCGCACGTCGCTAGAGTGTTCGGGTTTCGCCTGAAGAAAAGGTGGCAACCCTACTCAGGACGGACAGTGAGGATGAACCTCTCCAGCCATCCAGCAATGAACACCTGTCAGAGGTTACAACCCCGCCCCCGGCACCATCACAAACTCAGAAATGTTTTGTTTTTCTTGGGGCTTCGGACGGACGTTCCCCACGAGTGACGGCGTCGGCTGTTGATGGGGTTTTGCCGTGTTAATTGCGATCCCTCCGATGATGCCGCCGGCCTTCTCCATGAAATTGCCGAGCTCTCCCGGCGCAGCGACTCTCCTCTCCCCAGTAACTCATCCTGAGTGCGGAGAGACGTCGTGCCGGTCAGCAAACTGCTCGCGCAGCTGTTTCCAGGAGTGATTTTCTCTGCCGCCGCCGTCGCCGCGCTCCTCCTCGCAGCCGGGAACTTGTCGGTGAAATATGGGACGTGATTAGGTGCCCACTGGGAAGACGCAGAGGAATTTTCTGCAGAGCAGGCGGCAGCTCGGAAAACACAGAAATAAACCGCGAAGGGGGGGGAGGGGAGGGGCTGAAGGAAGGTTCTTCGTAATGTTATTCCCAGGACGCCGCGCGGTCTTCTCCCGCCGGTGACTTTTACAGCCGCGCGTCTCGTCTCGGTACCGGCAATTGATATACATACGGCGCCTCCTATCTCCATCTTCCTCATGACTTGTCCTATAAATAGACATGTGAGCTGCGCAAAAATTGGGTTTGGTTCGAATATTTCGTTATTTCGGGATTCGGATCGGAAATTCAATCGGGTTCGGGTTTCGGAGTCGGACAAAATCCCAATTATCGTTAGTTTCGGATGAGTTTACTAACATCCGTTGCGAATACCACAGAAAACCGTACGGAGCCCCCCTCCTAGACCCCCGAAGGGCATTTCGGGATCCGAATTTCCAAATACCATTCGGGAGCTCCAGACAGCAAATAATTTCCAAAACACAGAAATAAACCGCGAAGGGGGGGGAGGGGGGTGGGGGCTGAAGGAATGTTCTTCGTAATGTTATTCCCAGGACGCCGCGCGGTCTTCTCCTACCGGCGACTTTTACAGCCGCGCGTCTCGTCTCGGTACCGGCAATTTCCTAAATTTATAGGAAAGGTCTCGCGAGGGATAAAAGATTATCTGCCGGTCTCCGGGATTCTACCTGAAAAAAAGTGTAAGACAGAGCAGAGGAGCGGAACTGAGAGACCACTTTCTCTCTCGGGTCCGCTCCTCTTCTCAGTGGGCGGGGTTTCAATAGTCAGGCTGCTATTGGCTATTTCAAATTAAATTACATCCACCTGCGGAAGCTAACTGGCAGAAGAATGGGGCCACGCGCACGGGGGGGGGTGATTGGGAGTTGCACCGCGGGAGGGAGCGCAAGAAGCTGGTCTTGCCTAGGGCGCAAAATAGGGTTAGCTCCATCCCTTGATGATGCCGGATTTGTGGGCTTCCTTGTGGAGCTCGGTTGGTGCCGCCCCCTTCTACTGTGAGTGCACCTATTGGTCAGTGTATGCGTCCTCGGGAGTCACGTTGACACGCCCCCTCCCTCTTCATGGGTAGCAATAGCAATGGTCTCGGGTACGCACCTGCTGCTGGAGACAAGTGCTGCCAATCACAACCAATTAGGTACTGAGAGCAGCATGGTAGCTATAGGCAGGTCCGGATTTACTCTCTCTCTCTGCATCCCCAAAGCCGGGTTCCTCAATGCGCCCTCCTCCCCGCCAAATACACTGAGAAATAGATTGAACAGTATTTGCCTGCGTGTTGTCTGGGTTTGCTTGATGTTGCTACTGATTCTCTGTTTGGGGCATGCTTGCAGATGAGGCTTGTATACAAGACAGCAGATGGTGAGTGAGTGTGAATGGGATATAGTTTTAATTACTGCAGATTGTAAGCAGTACTATAGAGTGGGAAAAGGGAGCCGCTGTGCTTGTGCCAGTGGAGGGGGTGCTTATTTATCTGGCAAAAAACCCACATAGACTGCTAAATGGAGATAACACTCTGTATACTGGGCCGAGATGCTACTACTGCTGCTGCAGCCAGTATTACAGGTTGCTGTATTTACATTTATTTTTAGTGGCATACCTTGAGGGACAGGTGAGACCTTTATGAGCTTATTATGGTGGACAAACATGGAAAGCAGAGGCATAAAATATTCTTATTCACAAACCATAAAGCTAAAAGAGGATCATATAGTGATTAATTCAGAGACGGGTTTCAGCTAAAGGAAAAGCCTATCCAAAAGTGCTATTGTATTTATTGGTGGAGCCCAGAGGTAAGACTTTGTGTATGTTTTGGAGATTCCGACAGCAAGATTTCCCTGCCACAGTTCCTGACCCTCAGCTTTCTAAACCTTTGCATGTTCCACAATAAAAATTTACCACCAACAGCAGAATTACACCGTAGGACCTCCCTCGCTACTGAGGGAAGAACTGCATGCCGTCTTGCCAGCAAGTGAGTGACACTATAGAAGGTAAGTAGCAGGATCATCAGTGTAACACGACCTTAAGTAGGCAGCAGAAAAAACCTTACTAAAAGTAGGATGATCATTTTTCTAAACTTGTATTTAAATATTGACACCAGAAGAAAATGAATAATGAAAGAAATTAATAGAACATGAACCTAAAACACTTTTCAGAAAGATATAATGGCCAATCTGAGCTTTAAAGCCCAACTCCAGGATTTCAATGGAGTCATATACAATTGTCCAATAGTCAGGGCCGGGTTTACTCTCTCTGCTGCCCGAAGGCCAGGTTCCTCAATTCGCCCCCCCTACTGCCAACCAACCCCCCCATTGAGAATGGCAGACCTGCAGGCTGCACACAAGTTATCTCGGCGACATCACCGGGATCACTTGTTCAAAACAAGCGGCGGCTTCCCCGCTGTACATTTTTCCCTGCTTGCCCAAAGCCGGGCTAAATGTAGAAAACAACTACCCGCCCGGCACCCGGAACTGTATGTCCCGGGCATCAGGAGATAGGAATTCCACACCCCTGCTGCCCCTCTACTCCCTGCTGCGCCGAGGCCGGGCCTTTGTTGGCCTTGTGGGAAATATTTCCCTGGCTATAGGAACTTCCAACAAACTATGTATTCCATAATACATGTGTGTTTCGTTTTGTTACGAATCAAAATTCGTCAGAATATTCCGAAATTCAGACACATCCAAATTTCCAAATCCCAATGCATTCGAATTTAAATTACCGTTTCCAAATTTCCGAATAGCATTGGGGAGCTCCGGAATGCCATTCGGGTCTGGAAGCCTCAGCTGTAATATGGCTCCCAGACCCGTATGGCTTTCTGGAGCTCCCGAATGGTATTTGGAAATTCGGAACCTGAATGCCATTCGGGGTCTAGGAGGTTCAGCTTTCGTATTAATATCTGTAGATGGTTTTCTGTGGTATTCTCAACGGATATTCGCAAACTCATCCGAAACTAACGAATATTCGGATTTGGTCCGAATGCCGAATCCCAAAAATAATGAAATATTTGAACCAAACGGAACCAAATTTTTCCGCAGCTCACATGCCTATTTATTCCACAGGACAAGTCATGAGAAAGATGGAGATAGGAGGCGCTTTATGTATATCAATCTCACAATCAATATAAACTACACTGAAGAGTTCAAAGGGCAACATTAAAAAATACAGAATTCCTTTAAATAAAAATTCAAATTTGGGGAATGCCTTGAACCTGCTTGTGAACCCCTACCATGTACTGCAACCAAAGTGACATATCCCGGCCTGCTTTGTTCTGCTTGTAAACAAATCGGTCGGGAATTCCCATTAACATTCACATCAGACCTGTCATGATCTGAGATCAGGCTCGGAGTCCAGTAGCTGAAACGGCAGGCAAAGTGGTGGTATAACAGGCCGGGTTGGGTACACAAGCAGACGGTAGTAGTGGAGGAGCAGGCAGAAGCGTAGTCAGAGATCAAGCCGAGGTCAGCAGCCAAAGGTATCAGGTACGAAGCGGAAGACGATGAGAGTATTGGATGAATCAGCAGCCAAAGGTGGGTACACGGGTAGCAGTATGAGCGGATTGTATCACAGGAGGAGCAGGAAGCAAGATATTGGCAGGAGCACAATAATCTGGCAAACAGGAAGTGCAGAGGCGTGGCTTAAATAGGAAGTTCAAGGGAGGAGCAAGGAGTTCAGAGTTCAGCAGAAACTAGGGTTACCTGAGGATTACACAGGAGATCAGGCAAGGAGCTATCCAAGGTTCTAAGGTGGCTCAGCAGGTAGAACCACCGCCAGCTGCAGCAGAGGCCCCGGGTTCAGAACTTGTTCTTGATAAGACCCTTATCCTTGATGAAAGTCTGGTATGGATTTTTAGAGGGGAATCCCACACAACAAAAAGGCAAAATAGACACCTCATCCTAAAATCCATACTAGACTACTATCCTGGATGAAGGTTTGATATTGATTTTAAGTGGGACAACTCACAAAAACAACAACTGCTGTGAGGTCTCTCAAAAATCCAAATCAGATCCTTCAAAACCTTCAAAATTAGTTCTGGACCCTTATATAAGCATGCGGCCTGGCTGGGCAAGAAAGGAAGAGGCAGCGAGCCCGCCCAACTATACCCAAGCCACATGGCTTCAGCATGGGGAGGGAGCCTTGCTAGATGTGAACTAGATCCTAAATATGGACAGAGAGAATTAATGGGCAACCAAAACCCGAAGCTCTTCCCTAAAACCCTACATGACCACCATGGCAACTAATACCAATAGGACTGTACTTGAGAAAAGATCTCCTGGATGCCAGGCAGGGCTGTGCTGGGCTGCGGGACTGTGTCCATATCAGGACTGGATGGGCAGAATTAGAAATCATTTGGCCGTTATCGCAGCTCCGTGATGTGTTTCCTGTCTATATTTAGCTGAAGCTCAGCTTTACCTTTCGGGAGGACTGGCCCTTTAAGTCATGTTCCGATACCGCGGGATGAAGCCGCCTCCTCATTACTGGCCTCCGCGTCTCCTCTTTATTGCACTGGCCCTGCGATGGCGGAATGAGAGGCGTCCGGCCTGATCTCACCCCCAACTATTCTGAGACGCCGGATTCCTAAATTATTGAGTCTGCACTGTCCGCGGCGCGGTACATCATCAGCGCGTTCCTTAAATAGCAGAACTGCGGCCCGTAACGCGGGACGACGCCATCAATTCTGCATGACACCAGATATTAGAGAAGGATTCCCAACGGCCGGCCAAGCCGAAATGAGATGCCGGGATTAAAGGAGGGCCCCGGGTGTATGCTGCAGGAAATCCTCTATACGTATGCCTTTGCCTTTGGCAGCAGCCGAGCCAAAGGCATATGCTTTCCGCCCGACTGAGCCGAAGTGACACCTGAAGCGGCGGCAGGCTGTTCGCCCAGCAAATGACAACTGGGAGGAGGCAGCCGTGACGTCACAGCCGGCTCCGCCCAGTTGCAATGAGAGATCAGCGTCCCCAAATCACTTGGGGATGCTGATCTGTCATTAAACAATAACTGGGCGGAGCTTGCCGTGATGTCACGACCGGCTCCGCCCAGTTGGGCCGAGCTAGCTCCACCCAGTTTATTTATTTATTTATTAATTAATATTCATTTTCTTTTTTAAACACATTTTTTAGTTATTTTTTTCATTTTAGTATTTATTTACATGTTTGTTTGTTTTTAAACTAACCTTTTTTTTTTTAAACTTTTGTCACTATTTTCTATTCTGCTCGGTACCACGGAGGTACCGAGCAGACTAGCCGAGCCGAATGCCGCTAACGACAACAAGTGAGCTGCCAGAGCTTCGGCTCAGCCGATCCAGATGTTGGATCGGCTGAGCCGAAGTCCTTCTGGCCTTCGGCTCAGCGTCCGGCTCATTGCCTTCGGCTCAGCGTCCGGCTCATTGCCTTCGGCTCAGCGTTGTACGGCTGAAGTCAGCTGTACTGAGCCGTAGTGAGTAGCCGAACGTCGTTGGACTCACTTCACTTCGGCTGGGATATTCACTCGGCTGCCTTCCACAGCTTTGTGAATAACCCCCCTAAGTCAGTGGTGGCGAACTTTGGCACTCCAGCTGTTTTGGAACTACAAGTCCCATGAGGCATTGCAAGACTCTGACAGCCACAGACATAACTTCCTAGAGGCAGATGCATGTTGGGATTTGTAGTTTTGGCACAGCTGGAGTGCCAAGGTTCGCCACCACTGCCCTAAGTATTAGAGGATAATTACAAGGCAGCAAAGAGTTAAACCTCTCATTGGCCCCCCCTCCCCCCACCCCACATCCGAAATATCAGCTTTGGGTGCTGTGATCTTTCTGTGTTATGTGCTTTGTCTTGGTGGCCAAATAGTCCCCGCGGGGCAATCAATATAAATATCATCATCATCATCATCAACATATAATGAAATAACTCTTATGATGATCTCACCTATTTGGGGCGCCGGGTACCCAAACTGATATTGTTCATCCCCGTCCTCCTTCTTCTTGTTGTCGATGGACCTGAGAGACTGACTGCGGGAATCGTACCTCCCGTTGGCTGCAAATAAAAAGTAGGGATCATTATACGACAACTCTGATGGCCGGATCTCAGATAGCAGACAAGAGAAGTATCCGTATTATTGCCGAAAACTGTCCACATTGTGACCTCAATGTCAGAGAAGTATCTGCAGTCAGCATCAATTATAAACAAACAATAGAGAAGAGTAAAAGAAGAGAATTCCCGACAACCTCTCATACAATTATCGGCAACAATGTATTTTCTGTTCTTTGTGGAATCTTTATGTGATAATCAGAGTGAAGGAATCTTCCACATAAAACACGTTCAACGGGGAGAGAAGAAGAGAAGCAATTTTCTGTGACAAAGAGCATTGTGTGCCGCTCATCAGACGGGGGAATAACAACCTGTACAGACGAGGAGCAACCGCGCAGATCGGAGCCACGCCGCGGATCGGAGCCACGCCGCGGATCGGAGCCACGCCGCGGATCGGAGCCACGCCGCGGATCGGAGCCACGCCGCGGATCGGAGCCACGCCGCGGATCGGAGGCACGCCGCAGATCAGAGCCACGCCTGACTTCAACATTGGTACCATTCCAGCAGTAGAAGAAAATGGGGGATCTATAAAGGGGATTTATAAAGGGATCTATAAAAGTATCTATAAATGGGAACTATAAAGGGGGTGTATATAGGGATCCATGACAGGGGTTTATAAAGGGATCTGTAAAGGGCATATATAAAGAGATCTATAATGGGATCTATAAAGGGATCTATAATGGGAACTATAAAGGGACCTATAAAGGGGATGTATAATGGGATCTATAAAGGGATCTATAATGGGATCTATAAAGGGATCTATAAAGGGGATGTATAATTGGATCTATAATAATGGGAAATAAAAAGGGATATATAAGGGGATGTATAATGGGATCTATAAAGGGATCTATAATGGGAACTATAAAGGGACCTATAAAGGGGATGTATAATGGGATCTATAAAGGGATCTATAATGGGATCTATAAAGGGATCTATAAAGGGGATGTATAATTGGATCTATAAAGGGATCTATAATGGGATCGATAAAGGGATCTATAAAGGGATCTATAAGGGGGATCTATAAAGGGATCTATAAAGGGTATCTATAATGGGAACTATAAAGGGATCTATAAGGGGATGTATAATGGGATCTATAAAGGGATCTATAATGGGAACTATAAAGGGACCTATAAAGGGGATGTATAATGGGATCTATAAAGGGATCTATAATGGGATCTATAAAGGGATCTATAAAGGGGATGTATAATGGGATCTATAAAGGGATCTATAATGGGATCGATAAAGGGATCTATAAGGGGGATCTATAAAGGGATCTATAAAGGGATCTATAATGGGGATCTATAAAGAGGATCTATTATTATTATCATACAGGATTTATATAGCGCTAACAGTTTGTGCAGCACTTTACAATACAATTTCAGTACAATAGGGTTAGGAGGGCCTTGCTCGTGAGAGCTTACAATCTAGTAGATCTATAAAAAGGATCTACAAATGGATCAATAGAGAGGATCGATAAAGGATCTAGAAAAGGGGTTCTTATGTACCTGAGCTCCTCCCAACATGGAAATCCCATGGGGCCACCCATCCAAACAACTGCCGATTGGGGCATCCCCTGCCCCACAGCTGCACATAAACAAAGGGGCGGGACACTTGTGCTGATGCCATTGACCTTATATGGCCATATCGCCAATTAGACCGATGTCAGTGACCAAATATAGACACGTGGCCATATAAGGTCAATGTCGTCACCACAGCCCGCCCCCTTTGCTTATGTGGAGCTGTGGGTGGGGAATTCCCCAGCCGCAGCTGATTGGGTGTCAGCGAATACAGCCTTCCAAGGAACACCCACTGCTCCACCCAGCAAGTTATTTGATATTTGCATAACTCCTCCCAAGAGTCAGCCCACTGCTTGCATCTGGGCTGAGGGCCCTTCAGACGAGTACTGAGGCCGGGTGCTGTGATGTTTTCAGGAAGCCACGTACAGCGTCCGGCCAGCCCCTCCCCCCAGCCATAATCTGCTTGCATTGCACAGAGAAGCACAGAGATGCAGTGATGACATCACCGGGTCTTTACAAAGGTATGTAATGAAAACAGAAATGTTTCATTTAAAATGTTGATGACGAGGGGAACCAGGAAAAGGGAAAAGATAATCGTGTTACATTTTGGCTTTAATGATGAAATTGTGGATCTGTCTGGAGTTCAGCTTTAGATGATAGGAAAGGTGACAACGCGCGTGTCACCGACTCTCTGGAAGGAAATCTACGGTTCAGACGCATTGTGCGCGGTATGTATAGTATGGCGAAGTATATAGAGATGTCTCCAGCGCGGGTCAGTGAGGCCTCTGGAAGATGCACAGTGTAGGAGCACCGGGAAGGGGGGAGGGGTCATGTATCTCCGGCATTATGTTCCTCGCGGTGACACAAAATCGATGAATAAACAGCCACTTCCTGCGGAGCGGGCCGGCACATGCCCCCCCCCCCTGGGGTGAAATCCCAGCCTGGGAAGGGGCTGTATTATCCTAACACGGCTCCTACTGGAAATCAATGCTGCGGCTGATGATCTTTAAAGCAGGAGTCCCGTCGATGGAAGGTGAAGCGGCGTTTCCTCCCGGCTACATCGAAGGATGAGGGATTGATTTTTGTCGGCAGACATTCCGCGCAATCTCTTCATTATCTCGCAGGAAGCCGAAAAACCTGAACTTTCCACCATCAGCCCCACGTTGGGGCCTTTTGTATGAACACACGTGGCTGGCATGGGATGTGTACGTTCTGCTTTCTCTAATCCAGAAAACTCTGCAACCGTGCAAAAGACAAAGTTCATTCCGTTTAACGTTATCCGAGTTCTATCGGGTCCCCTTCAGCCGGATTCCAGAGGGTTCCTCACATGTTGGGTGGTAGGCTCTGATTTCTGAGGCTCTTTCTGCGTGCTCGTTCACTGATCACAGCTGTGAATGTGATTGGTTGCTGAGAGAAACTTCTCAATACTACTGACACTTCCTGTGAGAGGCAGAAATAGAGACTACGGTAGGTGTATGGAGCCCCCGGGGGGCCCATCATCTCTCTGATTGGTTAAAGGAGAACTATGAGGAGGGGGGGGGATTTCACTCACCTCATAGTTCTAGCCGACATGTGACCATGAGACAAGGGAAGTGAACGAACACATACCGGCGCTCGCTCACTTCTCGATCCTATGCCGGCAGAGAGCCGTGACTGTCACTCAGAGCTCCCTGCAAGGATTCCCCCACTCCCCTGTCCGATCCTCCAGCGCTGACTGGCGGAACGGACTGGGGGAGGGGGCGGGTACAGCTGGCTCTGCCTCTGGATAGGCAGAGCCAGCTGTCACTCACACAGCTGGGCGGATCCAGACAGTAATGTCGTGATCCGTCCCGGCTGCGGCGTCTCAGTATACCGCGAGCTGTAGCTATAAAAACTGGGATATGTACCTGGTATGGAGGGGGTATCAATGCTGGGGGGGCTATGTACCTGGTATGGTGGGGTATAAATACTGGGGTATGTTCCTGGTATGGAGGTTGGTATCAATACTGGGGTATGTTCTTGGTATGGGGGTATAAATAATGGGGTATGTACCTGGTATGGAGGGGTGTAAATACTGGGGTATGTATCTGGTATGGAGGGGGTAACAATGCTGGGGTTTGCTCCTGGTATGGAGGGGGTATCAATGCTGGGGTATGTAGCTGGTATGGAGGGGGTATCAATACTGGGGTATGTTCCTGGTATGGAGATGGTATTAATGCTGAGGTATGTTCCTGGTATGGAGGGGGTATAAATACTGGGGTATGTTCCTGGTATGGTGGGGAATCAATACTGGGGTATGTTCCTGGTATGGAGGGGGTATAAATACTGGGGTATGTTCCTGGTATGGTGGGGAATCAATACTGGGGTATGTTCCTGGTATGGAGGGGGTATCAATGCTGGGGCATGTTCCTGGAATGGTGGGGTGTCAGTGCTGGGGTATGTTCCTGGTATGGAGGGGGGATCAGTGCTGGGGCATGTTCCTGGTATGGTGGGGGGATCAGTGCTGGGGTATGTTCCTGGTATGGTGGGGGTATAAATGCTGGGGTATGTTCCTGGTATGGTGGGGGTATAAATGCTGGGGTATGTTCCTGGTATGGTGGGGGTATAAATGCTGGGGTATGTTCCTGGTATGGTGGGGGTATAAATGCTGGGGTATGTTCCTGGTATGGTGGGGGTATAAATGCTGGGGTATGTTCCTGGTATGGTGGGGGTATAAATGCTGGGGTATGTTCCTGGTATGGTGGGGGTATAAATGCTGGGGTATGTTCCTGGTATGGTGGGGGTATAAATGCTGGGGTATGTTCCTGGTATGGTGGGGGTATAAATGCTGGGGTATGTTCCTGGTATGGTGGGGGTATAAATGCTGGGGTATGTTCCTGGTATGGTGGGGGTATAAATGCTGGGGTATGTTCCTGGTATGGTGGGGGTATAAATGCTGGGGTATGTTCCTGGTATGGTGGGGGTATAAATGCTGGGGTATGTTCCTGGTATGGTGGGGGTATAAATGCTGGGGTATGTTCCTGGTATGGTGGGGGTATAAATGCTGGGGTATGTTCCTGGTATGGTGGGGGTATAAATGCTGGGGTATGTTCCTGGTATGGTGGGGGTATAAATGCTGGGGTATGTTCCTGGTATGGTGGGGGTATAAATGCTGGGGTATGTTCCTGGTATGGTGGGGGTATAAATGCTGGGGTATGTTCCTGGTATGGTGGGGGTATAAATGCTGGGGTATGTTCCTGGTATGGTGGGGGTATAAATGCTGGGGTATGTTCCTGGTATGGTGGGGGTATAAATGCTGGGGTATGTTCCTGGTATGGTGGGGGTATAAATGCTGGGGTATGTTCCTGGTATGGTGGGGGTATAAATGCTGGGGTATGTTCCTGGTATGGTGGGGGTATAAATGCTGGGGTATGTTCCTGGTATGGTGGGGGTATAAATGCTGGGGTATGT